ATAGTAATATGATTATCATCATATAAACAATTAAAGTATAATAGAATATATTGACACTGAGACTAAAACACCAAAAAAAGAATGTAAACCATGAAAAGTCTAAAGAGAGTAAGAAAATCATTAATTTTTTTGAATCTTAATTAACAATAGTATTCTTTAATGTGAATGTATTGGAAATAAACTCTGTGATAGAAATAGAGTATATTGAAGATATTGAATGAGTTACTTCTCGATATAAAGAAAATCCAATTGTAGATATATCTTTTAACACTCTTTTTTTAACAATAATAATCGTTATTTACAAGAAAAAAAAGAAAATGGTGATTAAAGAAAAGAAAATAATAACAAGAACTATTTATAGTGATTATTTTGAATGATAATAAAAAATAATAGAAATAATTAGAATAAGAAATACTAAAAGAAAAAAGAAAAGGATTTTTTTAAAAATGAGGAAAGTACATAAAAAGAAAAGAATTGATAAGAAATAACAACAATACGTTCAAAGATATTGACAATCATTCAGTTAATATTACATAAATAAAAACAAGAAGAAAATAAAAACATTCTAATTAAAAATTGGTTGGCTATAAAGATTTTCTTTTAAAATAAGATCACTAAGACTTTTTGATTGTTTTGGAATGATAGCAGAAGAACTATCTTTAAATTGAGAATTAAGATATGAATTAACAGCATATCCTCTTTCTAAGAAATCATTAAAATTCATAATTAAACGACCTCCATAATAAATTTTTTCAATTCGTTCAAGTCTGAATGTTTTATTAGTTTTTCTAGCTAATTTTGATTCAAAATAAAAACCTTTTTCAGTTAACATATCAATAAGAAGATGTTGAACAAATACTTTTTTATTCTTTTCAAATCTTCTCATTGCAGTTTGTTTCTTATTAACTAATTTACATTCATCTTCATAAATTGGTCTACAAATAGAATCAGCTAATTCTTGAACATCAATTTCTTCATTACCAAAATCTAATTGAGTAACAATAGGATAAGCTGAAGTAACAAGTGCTTGTTTCTTTTGTTTTTTAATTTTAATTAAACAATAACTATTTAAAAATGAAAGTAAAATTCCTTGTTGAATAACATAAAAATCTTTATACTCATTTTTTGTTCTAAAGAATAATGGACTTTCACTTCTACTTTCTTTAATTAAACTACCTTCATATGTTTTCATGTCTTCTTCTTGTTTTAGTATTTTCATTTGTAGATGACTTTTTATGTTCTTTTTATATTTCTATGTTCTATTTATATCTTATATCTTTTTTTAACGAATTCAAAATCCTCTTTTTTTATATTTTTCTTTTTCATTTTTCCTATTCATCAAACAACTCTTTCCTTCGTTATTCTTCGGAACTATTAGATTTTTTTTCGGGGGTTTGAGAATTTTAGGAAAGTAGAAAGATCTCTCTTTGATGTCCAAACAACTGATAATCTTTTTTTAACCATTTTTTCTAAGATTTGAAGCTGTACAGCCTTTTTTGAGTTCTTCCCTTTCAAAAATTAGATATTCCCTTCAAAAAGTTCTATAAATACAAGTAATTGTTTCACAAACAATACAACTTAATACCCCTATCGATATTCACCAATCAAAATGAAAAGATAGTTAGTAGAAGAAAAACGAAAATGAGAAAGGACGTTTTAGAGAGTCAGTGATTGTGTTTCCAAGATTTCTTTATCTGAAACAACGGTGAGTTAGGAAGTCTAAAGACCAAATAATAAAATGTTAAAAGTTTTATCAATAAATTAATATCCATAAGGTGAATAACCATAATTTGGTTGTGGATAATTTGGGTATCCCATTTGTTGGTACATCTGAGAATTTGTGTCATATCCTTGATATTGTTGGTAATATTGTTGCTGAGGTGGTGGATATGTTTGAGTAGTAGAGTCATATCCCATTTGATATTGTTGTTGAGATTGTTGGATGGGTTGATAATATTGTTGTTGTTGGATGGGTTGTTGATATTGTTGTTGTTGAGGTGGTTGTTGATATTGTTGTTGGTAATATTGCTGTTGGGGTACTTGTTGGAAATATGGTTGTTGAACTTGTTGTTGGTAAGTTTGAGTATTAGGAGGATAATTTACTTGGTATTGTTGTTGAGGTTGTTGGAGTGGTTGTCCAGTGATTTGTTGATGTGGTAATTGATGTATATTCATAATATTTTGACTAGTACACTGTTGATTTGATGTAGTTTCTTGTGTGTTAGGAGGGATATTATCAGAAACAGCAGTATAACTTCCTGTTGAAGTATTACTTTTTATTGTTTCAAGTGTTTTCTGTTCTTCTTCTTTCTTTCTTTTTTCTTCAGCCTGTTTAGTAAAATTTAAAAAGAATTCTGTATCTATTTTTTGATCTCCTTGTAAAAATGCAGTGAATGGATCGACTCTTTTTTCATTTGATATAGGCTTAGGTTGTTCAACACCTAATTCAGCATACATGTCTTGAATCATCTCCTTTTCTTTCATACTCTGAGATAATTGACTAAATGACTTTATAACAATTGGGTCTTTTGGTACATATAAGTATTTTTTATTCATTTCATTTCTTATATTTTCAAATTGACATGAATAACATGATTTATCGTTTTTACATTCATCACAAACAGTTTTATTACAAACAGGACATTTAGTTGAAATATTTGCTTTATGGCAAAATACACAACACTTTTTTCCCAATGTTTGGTAAATTTCTTCTGTACAACCAATAATAATAGTAGACAATTTATTAATAAATTGGTTAACTTCTTCTTGTGAAGAAAAGGATAATGTAATGGTTTTTTTATTATCATATGAAGTAATAGTAATCCCAAAATTTAATGTACTTTGGATTTGAGGTTTGAACAATGATATAGTTTTTACAGGTGCAATTGTATTTTTTGCTTTTCTTTCTCCAATAACAATATAATCTGTTGTTATTGAATAAACCAATCCACATAATACACCTTTATTCATTTCAATAACACTTCTTCCTTTACAATACCAATTCTCTCGTAAAGAAGGTTCTAAATATTCAGTTATAATACGTAATTTTTGTATTCTATCAAATTCTGGAATATATCCATTTACTTGTGATGCAACGTCTTTCATTATATTATAAGCTTTTTCTACACTTTGATACATTTCAGGAGACTTTTCTTTATCAGTATGTTTTAAAACTTCGTTTAATAATAATACATATCGTGGTGTTCGTTGTACTGGCATAATTAATAATGACCCTAAATCTAATTGTGGTTTTGTAGGTAAACATTGTCGTATTTGTTCGAAATAACAGTCAACTTTTTTATTATCTTTATAACCATTTACAATTTTTAATGCATTAGAATTATTACCAATAAATTCTCTCATATAAATAAAGAAAGGAGCAGCTTTAATAAATGCATCTTGAATATTTGTATAATGTTTATTTTCTTTCTTTAAGTCTTTAAGTAATGTACAAAAATATTGAGAAACAACAATGGTATCTTCAAACCCAATAAATATTTCATCAACTTTTTCCATTGGAACAACCATTGTATTAGGTTTTCTGAGACGCATATCATCCCAATAAAAAGCACGACATTCACTTAATGAATTTAAATAACTTATTTCGGTGTCTATAATTTCATTGATAACCCTTTCACGTTGTTCACTCATTGTGACTTTTTCTTCTAGATTGTTTTTTTTACCCTTTTTATTTAAACAAGTATTATGATAAGTTCATTTATATTTTTATAACATCTTCTTTCGGTACAACTTTCTTCCTTTTCTTTCTGTTTTTTTCTTTTCATTATCAATAATAATGGAATGAGATTGTTTATCATTGAAAGAGTTTAGAATCATTTGTTGATTCAACACAGAACATTCTACTTCATGAAGAAGTAAATTTTTATTATAAAATATTATCTTTTAATAATATTGAGGATTGTTTAAAGGAAGAAAAAAGAATGAAGGTGTGATGTTTTATACGTCATTAATTCTTCGTTTTGGTTAATTCCTTTTCTCTTATCAAAATCTTCAAAATTTAGTTAATAATAAATTATGACTAATAAGAAGATAATAAAGTAGTAAGAATAAATACTGTAATGAAACTCGTTACTACAGAAAAACTAACAATTGCAGCACTTACATCTAATCGAGTAACATTATATTCTACGCTATAAATAATACTTAGTAATGGTGCTGGACAAACACAACATAATGTAATTGTTAATCTAGTTAATTGAGTGATATATGAAGACAATGCAAAATATAAACCAACACCAATAGATATTCCAACAATTAAACGAACAATAAGAGCTTGTAGAGCAAGTTTAGTAGTTTGCCAAGAATTTTTCCATTCAAAAAAGAGTCCTAATAAGTTATAAGCCATTAATGTATTTCCTGATGATATTGTAATAATAATATTATTAATAAAACGAGGTAATTTAATATTATTTAAACCAATATAATAGCCAATTGGCATAACATATAAAGGTACACAAGTAATCAAAGAGATAATAATTTTTTTAATAATTTCATGCCATTTTTGTTTTTCATTTCTTAAAGTTTTCTTTTGTCCATATTTAATAAAATCAGTTGGTTTATTTGGATATAAATCCAATGAAGTTCTCATTATTGATTCTTCACTTGGAGAAGCAATAATTGAACTTTCTAAAGTTGGAGTTCCTTTAATATCAAAGGAATCATTATCCAATGATTTACGTTCATCACCTTTTAATTCATTTTCTATTATTTGAGACTCTTTTAATTCAACTTGAATATCAGTTATTTCATTTTGTTTTTCATCATCCTCTTTACTATTTTCAATTAAAGCAAATAAAGGTCTAAGCACTAAATAACAAGCAACATCATTACTAATATTAAATAAAATAGCATGTGTAATCCCATTAACAGGGTCTAACGTTTCTAATATTGGAAATAAGAAAAGTCCAATATTTAGTCCAATACATCCACCAAATTCAACTTGCCATGCAATATCATTTTTTATTATAAACTTAAAAATAATAAAAGAAATTAATCCTATACTTATTTGAAATATAAATCCTGATATAAACATTGCTAGTGACTCAATATCTAGACTGTGCGTATTAATTAATGCTTTTAATATAACAAATGGAAAGGTTAAATTAAACATTATTTTCATTAATAATCCACTACTTTCTCTCACAATCCCTCTAAACCAAATAATTTTAATAATAAATGATGCTGTAATAATAAATACTAATGTCCCAAATTGTTCATAGAACTCAATCATGTTTAATTAATTTTATTTATTTAGTGATTCTTTCTTATTTTTTGACTTTTTTTCTTTCTTATTCTTCTTAATTTATTGAATATTCTTTTTTCATCTGATCGTTTCTTTCTTTTATTCATCCAATTTCTATTTTTCTTTTTTATTCTTCTTTTATCTGAATGATTTGTTTATTGTCACAACTATTTTATTGAAATAATTCCTCATTTTAATAAGTCTTTACTAACTTTAAACCTTAGTTGTTTATGACTTTTTCTTTCTAGTATTTATGTGCCAGTATAAGTTAGTTAGAAAAAGATTCAATCATTTTAGTAACTTAATTAAAAGAGTTGTCTAAGAAAAGAAGATGATGGTTAGATATTTTTTTATTATTTGCCTTTGTTAATGTTTTTAATTAAATAAAAATTAGTTAATTAAATGTTAATAG